GCTGAGCGTAAACGGAGGGATCTTTCATCATCCCCCACTTCTTCAGCAAGTTGACAGAGCGTAGGTGTAAGACCTTCTAAGTTGAACATGTGTGAATTGTCACTCTGTATTTGGCCAACGTGTTACAAACAAAGAACAAATTCAACAAGAAAGAGACAACGAGTGAAAGCCAAAAGATTGAGATAATTGTGAATCTGAGAATCCTATTCCTATGAAGCCCAACTGGACAAATACAGTGCCTAAAATATTGCTCCATTAGATAGAAGTTGATTATTGATATGTACTCTCAGAATACCTGGAAACTTATAAAGTCAACAAGAGAATTGCAACCTAAGATCTGCACTTCTTCCTGCCTTGTTTGCTCCAGAAGAGTTCGGATGATGCTTAACAAGCTAGAAGAAAATAGGGGCCTACAAAAATGTTGTCAGCAAATGTATGAACAGGGAAAAAAAAAGCACTGCAGTATGAAAACAAAATTTCAGAGAAAATATATAGAACTTCAGGATATTAAGGCGCACATTAAAGGGAAAAGGAAAACAGAGCCCACGAAAAGTATGCTCATAGAATTTTTCCTCAAGATGTAAATTTAAAGCAATGAATCATAGGATGTATAATTCTAGGTAACCAGATTATATGGCACTGCTTTTTTTTATCATAAGAAAATATAACTTACATCTGCTCCTTACATGATGAAAGAAGCTTCTTGTAGACGCATAACACTACTTTAACTGATCCAATATTTCCATTTCGCAATTCTTTGTAACATTTCTGCTCAAGGTAATCTGTAATCTGTCAAAAGCAAATCTGAAAGACATGAGAATCAGATTAAGATGCGTTCCCACAAATAGTAAAGAGACGCCATAACAAAAAAGGGAAGAAATCAGATTCTTTCATTCCCTCTGTCCATCAGCCAACATCATTGCACACGAATTTTAGAATCAAGCCACTGAAATCTTTTACAAATTACCACCCAATGATGAAAAGAGAAACCTGAAGTACATGGATGATAATGATGATGATGATGATGATGAAGGTAAAGAACTAATCTAATAATTCTAGAAATTTGCATAGTCATTACAAATGGATTGCACTGGTCAATAATCAGTAACAACCAAGGCTACAGCTGGACTAATAATTTTTTTAAAGAATGACATTAGCCAACAAGGATAGACTATCGTTCATACTTTCATCAGCAAAACGATGGCAAATAAAGAACTGCGCTACCTTTGGAATTCGTAAAGGATTCCTTGACGAATATTCACAAAGCTTGCTGATTTTCCTGTCATTTGGCTCAGCTTCCTGCCAAATCAAAACAGGGAATCTGTTCAAACCTAGATTATGTCTTACACAAACTTTCCTTTTTTGCGGTGCTAGACCCCAGTAGCAGGATTCGTTAAATCTTCACACAAAAGAGCATAGCAAAAAACGTATATTCACCTCCACATCCAGACTAGAAGTGAAATTACTAGGACTGATCATGACTACAATGTGGTCGTTTTCACTATACAAGACATATCGGTTCCCCCACACAATTTAATGCTTTCCCCACATAACTTCAAAACCTACCCAACTGCAAGCTCTCTAGATATCACTGAACAGAAAAAGATCTACACTCGAGAATCTCGACCATCATGTGAACCAAGACAAAACAGATCATGAACTGGGAATTCACCTGATTGCGAGGGAAAATCTCAGCAAGCATTTTCTTGTAGCGTTTCACGGGCTGTCTGGACCTTGCCCTCAAGGAAGGACAGAAGAAACAGAGGTTACCACAGACGGGCAAAACCCGTCTGGACATAACCCCCATTTTCTCCGGTGGTATTCGAACCCTCTCCTCTGTATGTTTCCGAAGACAAAAGTTAAAAGCTTGTTCAAATCTCTAACTCAACACGTAATCACACAACAGGAACTCATCAGAACATATCGAGAAAAGAAAAAGAAAGAAAGAAAAAAACAAAATTGGTTCATGGGATAAAGTTCTTCTCCTAGCGAAGTGGCTGACTGAAGAGGATCAAAGCAGAGAAAGCAAATGTTGATTCTTAAATGTCGCATTCAGAAGCTGCAGAATTGAATTGACAATTGAAAAGATAGGAAATTTTCGGAGAAAACCCTGCAAGTAAGAAGATTGTACCAAGCAGTGCAATCGGAAGCGAACCCTAATTTAGCATCAAGCTCACGAGATCGCGATCTGGGGCAGCCTGAACCCCAAGCGAAAGGGTAAAAATCCGAAGAACCAGAAAAAAAGAAATTGGGGGAACAAATCAAGATGACTACTGCTCAACGAAATTCACAGAAAACACACGTAAATTCAAAAATTCGCAACAAAAAAAAAAACTATCAGAGAAAAAGATTTGAGAAAGAGAGGAGAATAACCAGGAAGAAGGAAGGAGGAAAATATATCCTGCCTGCCGTCTCAGGAGTGGCATCTGCTCGTCTTTTCGTCCTTTTATCATTAATTAATAAAAAAAAACTTTTAAAATTGTCCTTCTCCGCCATTAATGTCGGAAAGTGTCAGTCGAGAAATTATATGTGGGTATGAAATTACGAGATCGCCCCTCCGGGTGTTTTTTGTCTCCCTTTTTTTGCAACGTTTTAAATTTGAAAGGGAAGAAAGCTATCAACAATGACGTGGTGTGGTCATCAGAAGAAACAATCCATAAACGTAATTAGCTTTGTTAATTTGATTAAAAGATGATAATTGTGACAATCACGGCTCCTTAATACATATAGGCCTACATACACGACAACAACTGTGAAATTAAAGAGAAATATAAATGAACCATCAACTGCATTGGATGAGATGGGTCAATGATCAACATCAAAACAAAGTTCATAATAAGCTTGATTATAAAGCAAATCGGATCCTAGATCTATACTCAAAAACCATACAAACTTTGATTATAAAAAAAAATGTTTGTTTTAAATAATATTTTTGTTTTAAAACAGATAAGCAAGAGCCCCTATAGCTCAGTGGTAGAGCGTCAGTCTTGTAAACTGAAGGTCCGTAGTTCGATCCTGCGTGGGGGCATTTTGCTTTATCGTTTTTATCTTATTTCTTCAAAAAAAAAAATTTAATATTCGTCGTAAACTATTATGGTCCACCACTCACAAAGTGTTTTTTGGGTATTTAATTTTGCAATTCAAACGTGCTAACCAAACTCCTTTACAGAGGCATGCAGACTTGACAACTTCAAAATAAAAAAAATGTATTTCCGTTGTGGACATAATTATTAAAAAGAAAATTCGCTCTCAACAATGTTTTTATATATTTCATAAACAAAAAACGATAAAGTATCTAAACTACGATCTTCAATGTCATATAATAATAACAATTAGATAGTGGGCGATTTCAAAAGAGAGAATCGACATTTTTGTTTTGTTATTAACATGGAAGAATTGGTGATTTTAATGGAAAACAAAAACTATTATATGGAGAGCTTTTATTCCATGAGCAATTTCTCTCCTTCAAATGCCCCAGCATTTTCTCTCCACCAACAATTCAATATAACATCCCATAGACAATCTCTCTCTCTCTCCCCTAATTTTGTCTTCCGAGGTTAAGAAATGGAGATCTCTTGGCTAGGGTTTCTCGTTGTTGTCTTTTAACTCCTCCTCGATTTCGAATCTCTGCCCTTGTCGGGGTCTCCAAGAAGCCAAGGAGGGTTGTTTACGTTCTGTCCCCCCCTCCTCGCTTTTCTTCACACGCAAGAAACAAACCCTAATGGACCCGACAGAGCTAAAACGCGTTTTCCAGATGTTCGACAAGAACGGAGACGGCCGAATCACCGAGAAGGAGCTGAACGAGTCGCTCAAAAACCTCGGGATCCACATCCCCGACAAGGAGCTGAGGCAGATGATCGAGAAGATCGACGTGAACGGGGACGGGTGCGTGGACATGGACGAGTTCGGGGAGCTTTACAAGTCGATAATGGCGGAGGAGGAGGACGAGGAAGAAGACATGAAGGAGGCATTCAACGTGTTCGATCAGAACGGGGATGGGTTCATCACGGTCGAGGAGCTGAAGTCTGTCTTGTCTTCCTTGGGGCTCAAGCAAGGGAAGACCCTCGAAGATTGTCGGAAGATGATTATGCACGTCGACGTCGACGGAGATGGTAGGGTTAACTACAAAGAGTTTAGACAAATGATGAAAGGTGGCGGTTTTTGCGCTTTGAGCTGATTAATTATGCTCTTTTTGCAAATCCCGATTAACCATCTTTTTTTTTTCAATTATTTGTTAGGAGATGAAAAAAAAAACGAACATCATATTTATTATGTATAGCTCTCTTTTTCCCTACCGCTCGGACAATGTACCATGCAACGAACACTCCATATATATATGGGAGTTAAGAATAACATGATGCAATGCGAAATCATGGAATTACATATACATACATATATATATATATATAGTGACGTTCAAAATCTTTGTGCCTCCTTGTTATTCGAGATAATATTTATTGTTATAAAATACAATCATAGAATATCTTATTCAATTAACATAAATGTCTAGACTGTAGCTATAGAAATCAAATTAATCTGAATATTAATTAATGTATTATAATCTTCTAGGATATATATGCTCATCAGTTTTCTTGGTGCTGAAGATTCAGTTTGGACATGGGTATTGGATAAAGATTTTAAAGAATGGAGCTTCTTGGTTTGGTAACAGTCACACATATATATATATACATACATTCCTCACATATATATAACCTAGTCTTCTTCCTCACGTGCGCTTGAAAAATCAATATACCAAGAATCCATGTAATCAGTGAGACGTTCTATCGCCATTGCAGAGAAGGAACTCGAGCTCCACCACATGCAGGTTGCCCTCTGTTAAGGACGTATGAATCCTCTCTCTCGATCTTGGACGCTTCCCCCTCAAAGCAGGAATACTCTTAAAGAAGGTAATATGAATATATATTTGAGAAGATTTTGGGGTTAATTATCATAATAACGTAAAACCATATTTATATATCATAATATGATTGTAATCTTTTTCAAATATTCTTTTTGTATCCTTGTTAATATTTGCATTAAAACAAGAATCGGATTCAAAATCTCACGTCTACGGTTCGAATCCCACAAGACATCCCCAATTATAAAAAAAACTATAAAATATTTATAAAAGATAAGCAGAAAGGTTTAAAATAACAATATGTGATTAGGGCTCTCCTATAGAATATACAAGTTTTTATATATATATAAATTGTGATGATTTAGAACTCTTGTTTTATGGTGCCATAATAATGACCACTTACGTGAAAAACAAGAAATTTCTGCGAATATATACCTCGTTGAAATACAAAACCACATGATATTTTATTTGGATTTTATTATTCTTTATATTTTACTCTTTTTAATATTAAAAAGTAACTGTTCTTTAATTTTATTTATATTTATTCCTTTAAAAAATATTTATTTTATAAATAAAACTATTTATCATTAAATTAAAGTCTGGCTTCGATATGATCAGTTAATATTTTTATTTAGGAAGAATTAGCGTTTTACTACCTAAGAATATTCACATAAATCAACATAAACTATAGCCAAATCTAAAATTTTATTTTTAAAAAATTATAATGTACATAACGATGAAGCTTGCTTTTTAAGATAAAAAGAAAATCATAAAGTAATTAGTGTTGACCCACCCACGTGAAATGCAAAAAAAGATTAAAGCTTAACCCCCACTAAGCTAGTAATATTATTATGTCTTGCATTTCACTCCATATTTACAAATACTATTTTTCAATTTTAACATAAAATCCAAAAAAAAATTGTATTGATAGGTCATCACCTGCCTAATTACAAATCCTTTTTAATTTATTTATATAAATTGGCATTTTGTCATTACTGTGTGTATATAGAGATATAAAATTCAGTGTTTGTCGTCGGTCCACGAGCTGGTTTTTAAAAGATCGAGAGAGGAATCCACTGATTTTGAAACATCCAATTAAAAAAATGTAGCAAAATAATAAAATAATTCAACTTGGTCGCCCACAGAGAGGAGAGAAGAGTTGCCTCTAAATTTAGTTAATTTTATTTTAAATACATTTATTATCTTTTACAAAATAATGAAATTGTAGCATGATTTTCACATAAAAAAAAAAGTAATCTCATATGGGTGTAAATTACAAACGAAAATAGATTAAATTAATTTTTGTATTGGGAATTAAATTATATATGGTTATATTTGATGACTGGAATAAGAATTTTAAGAAGAAAAAGCATCACGGCTTATCATTGGTGCGCAACTTTAAAGTAAAGTAAGAACCATAATTTTTTTTTATAATATTTGGAAAATAAATATTTGAAAGGGCAAGATATTGTGATTAGAGATTTTATCCCAAAGGGTATATTTAGAAAATTCTTATACATATATATTGTTTTCTTATTTGTGGAAATATGTTTAAGCAAGAATGGCTAAAGAGACATATTAGTAGGTGTTTTGTCATTTTTTTTCCTTAAGCGACCTTGACATTGATAAATATCCAATAAAATATCAGTTTCACCAAAATCTTTATTTTCCATTTTCAACAAAGTAATATTATATAAATGGGCAATTAATTTGACGGTTGAAAGATAAAATGTTGAGAAATTTGAAATCTTGCAATTTAATATGCCATTTAGATCAATTTAGATCATATGTTAAAATTTGATCCTATGTCACTTATACACAAAAATGATATATTATATTTTTGTTAGATATTTTATCGTACCTTTTTTTTTTATTTCACTGCGGTAGTCTCTGCAATTTTGTAAAGGCTTTCTTCAATCTCTCCACCAACTCCTCGTCTCCTATATAAACCCTCCCCCTATTGGCACATTTCACGCTCTCTCTCTCTCTCTCTCTCTCCTTTTCCGATTGATCAAACGCTCCTTCGATCTCATCGAAATGGCATCCAATGGAGAAAAGAGCCTCATCGTGAGCTTCGGCGAGATGCTCATCGACTTCGTCCCCACCGTTTCCGGCGTCTCCCTCGCTGAGGCCCCCGGCTTCCTCAAGGCCCCCGGCGGCGCCCCCGCCAACGTCGCCATCGCCGTCGCGCGCCTCGGCGGACGCGCCGCCTTCGTCGGAAAGCTTGGGGATGACGAGTTCGGCCGCATGTTGGCCGGGATCCTGACGGAGAACGGCGTCACCGATCGGGGCATCAATTTCGACAAAGGTGCCAGGACGGCTCTCGCCTTCGTCACCCTCCGATCTGACGGAGAACGAGAGTTCATGTTCTACAGGAACCCCAGCGCCGACATGCTCCTCCGCCCCGATGAACTCGACCTCGAGCTTATCAGATCCGTACGTACAAATCGCACCCAACTCTCTCTGTTTCTGTGTGAAATTTTGATCCCAGAACTATTATAGTGATCTTCCGAATACTGCTTTCCCCTAGATCTTAACGAGATCTAGAGGAGAGATTAACGGTTTTGAATTCTAGAACACGGATAAGTACTCTTTGTTTTTCCTTTGAAATTTCTCCGGTTTGTTAGAATCCGCCACGTGTAATTTTCGTTGATGGTGATGTCACCGGCGGTGAAGGCCCAAAACCCTCGCCGAGATTTCCGTCAAACGTATAGAAACGCCTCAGGGGGCTCTGATAAAATCAGGGGCTGTGACGATGTAGTTCTCTGATCTCATCGTCGTTTCGTCGTTTTTGCCGCTCGCGTGAGACCCACGTGATAGATCGCAAAACACCAAAATTTGGGATTTTTTTTAAAGGATTTTTTTTTTAAATTTTGTTTCATCCGATTGATAAACGCACAATGATATAGATAAAATTCTACTCATAAATGATGATAATATTCTTGCGTTTGTATAGGGATTATTAGTTTTTCAATTGAAAAATCTTTGTTTTCGGTAGAGTTTCTTTTTTTCCTTGGCACGAGTCTGAGTATTGGTCCATCTCATGAGATCTTTGATGTTTTTCCCTTGGCTTTTGTCCTTTTCGTCCCGTTATCAGAAAAGTCTTGGAAATATCCGGAGCCAAAACCAAAGGAAATCTTTTTCCTATTCTCATACCCTTTAATTTCTATTCCAAGAGCAATAATATGATCTTGTGACCCATGGAGCTTGTGCATATTCATGCAGAGCCCTCTTTTCTATTTTTGCTTGAAATGCCCATGATGAAACAAATACCTGTGAAGTTATTCTTACAGTCCTAGCATAATAATTCAAAAGTTGAAAATTTTTGGCCTAAAACAGGGGAGATATTTGTTCTTTACAGCTAATCTTATGGCTCCCACCCCTTCCTTTCCTCGGTCAGCTTATCATGATGCATCCAACTTTAATAATCAATTATAATTATCCAAATGGAAGAAGAAATTAAAAAAGGCGCCTACTTTGATTAGTCCGTATGCTGAGCTAATTTTACTCATAATGGTCCAAATTGTTGATTTTGAGGCCGACGAGTTTTCATACTGGATTTGGTGAACTGTTTGAGTTTTAGATTTTTTTTAGATGATTAGTGTACTGATGATTGACACAATTTGGAATCTTTTTCAGGCAAAAGTGTTCCACTATGGATCAATAAGCTTGATAGTGGAGCCATGTAGGTCGGCTCATTTGAAGGCCATGGAAGTGGCCAAAGAAGCCGGAGCTCTTCTCTCCTACGATCCGAACCTCAGGGAAGCTCTATGGCCATCGACTGAAGAAGCCCGCGAACAGATAATGAGCATCTGGGACAAGGCTGACATCATCAAGGTCAGCGATGTCGAGCTTGAGTTTCTCACTGGTAGCAACAAGATCGACGACGAGACCGCGTTGTCCCTTTGGCATCCCAACTTGAAGCTCCTGCTCGTCACTCTCGGCGAAAAGGGTTGTCGTTATTACACCAAGGTACGCATGAGAATCTTTTTTTTTTTGTATATCATCATTGGTATTGTATGTGATTTGCTCTGACATATGTGGTTTAGAACAGGGGAAGCATTAGATATGTCTGTTGTTTGCCATTTGGTGGTGTCCATTAGGTGATACCAAAAGGCCAAACTAAATGAATTAGATTTTCTCATTACATTTATGCTCATTGGTTTTGAAAAGGATACAATAATTTTATTTATTTAATTGCAACGGCGAGTGCAAGGTCTAGTAGCTTATGCATTTGATCAACTTGGTGTTTTGATATTTTTAATTTCTGGTGGGGTTTTGGTTAGGTCGGTAGATCTCAACCACTGCCTTTTAAATTCTTATTAGTGGACCCTTCTGAAAAAGGATTAATATAATCATATAGGAATGCCAAAGTCGTGACCTTTAAGCGTTTATTTAATCATTGATGACTCAGCTCGGAATCACAAGAACTTTGAGAGTGATTGGTTATTAACGCCAATGGTTTTGTGTTGTGACTTCACTAACTTGGGGGTATCTTCTAACTTACAAAAACTGCAGAATTTTCATGGATCCGTTGATCCGTTCCATGTGAACGCTGTGGATACGACCGGAGCCGGAGATTCATTTGTCGGAGCTCTTCTAACCAAGATCGTTGATGACCAATCTGTTCTTGAGGTAATGTATTCATTTGGCGATAGATTTATGGAGTATGCATCTGGGGTTAGGCTCGAGCGTTTCTTGGTTCCTAATTAGGTGTTTTCGTTTGGATTGACAGGATGAGGATAGATTGAAGAAAGTGCTGAGATTCGCGAATGCGTGTGGAGCGATCACGACGACGAAAAAGGGAGCTATCCCGGCTCTTCCCACCGATGCCGAAGTGGTTGGGTTTCTCCAAGGGAAATAGAAAACGCCGGTCTGAGAGAAAAAAAAAACACTTCAATTTTTTTTCTTAAGGCTGCTTCTTCGAACTTTGTTGTTTTGTCCTAATGAACCTGATTTTGTACGGAGGAGATTTGGGTGTGGGTTTTTCTTTTCTCTCCTCCTCTTCTTTTGGCTGTAATGATTTAAGAGAGCATTAATAGCTCATGAATAAGAAAAATTGTAATGTTTTCCTCCACAATGTTTTTGAAGAAGCAAATGTTACACAATGTTCGGCATGAATTCTCAAGAGAAAAAGCACGCAAGGTTCATACAGAGGTTTAAGGTAACTATGCAATGACTGATGCATATAATAATAAACCTAATGTAACAGCAAAAGCTCCCACATTACATGCTAAGCCATAGTGTCCAATGAAAAACCAGAGATTCCATGTCCAGGAGCTATGAACATCACCCACTCGAATGTATCAAAGATTCAGGGAAAAACAAAAATGGAAAAAGAAAAGGAAGATTGTAATTTCCTTCTTTTGATGACAGCTTAGCCAAGATCTGGGACAATGGAGTGTTCTTCATCATCATGGTCTTGGATCTCAAGTCTTGGCTTCTTGTACGAGACATTGGACTTGATGGGTCTGTAAGAATGAATGTGGTTCAGTTGCGAAACCGGAAGCTGGGGAACTTCAGCTGCCGGTAGAGCCTCCTCCTCCTCATGATGATGATGAAGCTGGTCCCCGAACAGACCCACGTCCGCCAGCCACTCCAGCTCCCCGATATCATCCATCTGTCCCTTCTGCTGAATCAAACAATTACAAGACATGTCAGTCACTTCTTTCAAAACTTGGATACAGAGTATCACTAGCACAAGTTCTTGTCCTGCTCTGTAACAACTGCACTTGCAATGTTTTGAACAAGTAGCCCTCTCATTGACCACTCCTCTCACCTTGTCACAGGACTCGAGACCCGAGAAGTGGAAGAAGTCGTCGACTGGCCAGAGAGGAGGCGAGTTTGAGGACTGCTGAGTTGGCAAATGGCCCGCGCTCTGCTGATTGGAGGGTTCAGACTGATTCTTCTGCACTTCCTTATTGCAAGTGCTCGAGCTCAGAGCCACGCGAATTCCAGTGGCCAAGAACCTCTGGTGATTAGCAGAGAGGGTATTGGCTGCGTGAATGGCTTCGTCACAGTCCCTGCAGAGAAGTGCTCTGTCCTCCACGCAGAATATGAAAGCCGCCTTCTCCTGCAAATGTCAAAAAGTACCACACAAAAGATTTTGACACATGAGATGAGAGACCATATGAGTAACTTAACTCGAGCAGATCTTCTTGAACCCTTTGTAGATAAAGCTCAACTGATACCTTTTTTCCTTGAAAATTTATTTACTTCATTTTACAATTTTCACAAAACTATTAGATAATTGCCCAAGAGCTGCTTAATCATATGAAGTGTTTGCTCTGTTTTTCAGACTCCAGGACAGCTAATCTGCTAAACAAGTTGTCCAGGCAGAACCTCTAAACACAAAACTAACTGCAGAGTGCAGGCATGTCTGTTGTGTAAGAAAACACAAACACAGAAACACCACCTAGATACATACATACATACATATATATATACACACATATACAGAGGCAAAAGATGGAAAGAGGATAAAAGAATGGTTACTTGGCAAATGTCGCAGGGGGGGAATTTGTGGAGAGAGAGTTGAGGAGAAGGCGTTGGTGCTTGCTGGCCAGCTTGTTGGCGGCGTGAACCTCCACGTCGCATTTAGGGCAGAGAGCTGCCTCATCGGCGCAGCATATCACCGTCGCCGGAGCTCTCTCACACACATCGCACTGTATCTTCATCTTTGCTTATGCTTCTTTATAAAAAAAAAATACCCACATAAAAAAGATCCAAACTTTGAAATGTTTCTTCTCTTTTCCTCCCTGGGTTTCGGATTTTCCCGGAAAATGAGGGGATGGGGGCAGAGAGAGAGAGAGAGAGGGATGATCCGAATGGTTAAGGAATCAAACTAGAAATCTGGTTCTGTTCTTTCCCCTCTCCAGGAATCAGGATTAAGACAAGGAGGAGAAAGAAAAAAGGAAAAGAAAAGAAGAAGAGAGAAACTCAGAGAAGATATAACGAAAATGGAGATGAGACCATAAACAGAAGAAACAAAAACAGATTTTTTTTTTCTCAAGAAAGGGACGATGGGTGGAGAAGAGAGGAGGGAGGAGATAAGGGTTCTTGGCTTTGGGGCGATCTCCGATTCTGTGGATCAAAAGGGAACACCACGGTGCTTCCAACAAGGCCTTGTAGGGTCCACTCTTCTTCCGTGGCTCTCATTGAATCTCACTGCAAGTGGATTATAAATTATTTTATTCTATTTTCCTAGTGGAGAACAAGAAATTCGACGGTTGTCGTTCAAATTCAAATGGCATAATACATTTATATTCACTCGATTCCTTTGTGAAGCGGATCTTGGAAAAGACCCAAAAAAAAGAGAGAGAGAGAGAACTTTACAACCAAGAATTACGTATGATCTTCAAAATCTGAAAAAAAAAAAAAAAAAACACACATAGGGTTCGACTGGTTGTACCGCAGCAGTTGCGGTTGCGGTTGCGATTGCGGGTAACAGCGTTTTCAGAACGTTTGATAGCGATTATAAATGATTAGTAGTGACTAGTTGAGAAGTTGCTGTTGGTAGCGATTGCGGGTGAGTGCAGTTATAAGTGAATGGTTCATTACGATTACGGTTGCGTTTTGATATAAATTGTCAAAAAAAATATTATTTAAAAATAATTTTTATAATAATTTTAATTAAATTTTTCGTATCATTTGATAAAAATTATTTACAAAATTTATAATAATTAAATAATAAATTTAAAATATAAATATTATCAATTTAATTTATTTTTAAGTAAAAAAATAATTTTATTATAAAAATTATTAAAAATAATCATTATTAAATCTAAAAATTATATTATTATATATTTTTTTTTATTAAAATATAGCACTAAAAAATAATATCAAATCATAACACTAAACAAAATCATCAACAATATATAGTGACATTACATGGAGTTCTTTCTTCCTAGCTATATTGTTTTCCTTTCAATGTGAAACCATCCCCATGTTATTCAAGGAAAAGGACAAGTAACAACAAAATAAGCTGTAAAAAGATGGCATTTTATGAATCTAATATGTCAAATGTGGGTGTAAATTCACAATATAAGAATCAGTGGGGAGCTTTGGAGTGAAGTTCCCCTCCCCAAGAACAACAAATGAAGGGCTGAACAAAGATTTAGACCTTTTTTTTTCTGTGGCCAAGAAATTCAAGAATCAAGGGAGGAAATGTGTGTGAGGGCTTTTGAATACTTACTGTTTCTGTACATCTTTTTCATCTTCGTTTCTGTTCATATTGGCTGTGTCCTGATGAAGTAGGTTAGAAAATCCATGCCCGATCGACTTCCACCAGCTCGAGCTAGTGACGGAGCTGGCCACCGAGAATACATCCGTCGGCATGGCCAAGTCGGGCTGCAGCTCAGAGAATCTCACAGCTCCTAAGAGTCGTTCAGGAAGCTCTGCTTCGGTCTGGCCTTCGATAAGGAAGGCTAGGTCGACAGTCAGTGATGTTACATAGCCGAAAGCGAGATGAACAATGGCACTAGCCACCATTGAAGAACCGATATCCACATCAATCTCCAAGAAGTTTTCTCCGGAGACGTATTTGCACGAGAGGGCACGCCCTATCACACAAATAGCTTGCTCCCCGACAGCCTTCCTCACGATCCAAGGGCCTTTGACAATGTTGGCTATCATCTTTAGCCGCAACTTTTTAAAAGCTTCATCTCCTTTCAGAAACCTATCCATCAATGACCCTTCAAGGATAGGCTCGGTGGTAGCAAAGTATGCTACAGCACTGTAATTGTCTTTGTGCGGAAGCTGAAGATTGACAGCCCAAACAAAAGGCTTAGTTTCGCTGTTTGGAAACTCCTCGTCGATAATATTCTTGACTCGGCTGGTTGGGTCATTTAGGACCTCAGCAAGCTTGGCCGAACCTTTAATCCAATCAAACCCTAGAGGAGCTAGAAGGAAATCTCCTGCAGGGATTTTAACCCGGTCAGACAGATAGTGCGGTCCTCTAACCAAGAACTTGTCCGGTGATGGTGTTGCCCAACCATTTTGGCAGTTGTCTTGATCAAGGAAAGGAACAGCTCCCTCTGACTTCACTCTTCGGATCCATTCTGGCTCATTTTTCCCGTTAGAGCCAGCCATGTCATGTGAGATCCTGCCACACATAAACACACGTAAGAGTATCACAAATAAATACAGAAGAAAGAAAAGAAACCCCATGTGTCGTACCCTGTGTCTATCAGCACACAATTTGATACATCAGCCTATCAGCAAAGATATAACGACAAACAAGAACATGATCAGAGAGATTCCCGGTAGAGAACAAAGTACTTCTTTGGAGGACAGTAATAATAAAATATATGATATGAAAACAGAAGCGGAGAATACAATATACGAACAATCTAACAAGATGGCCATAGATGGATTAAGCGGTTGGAATGTAAAACTCTATAGGTAAAACATGCTCGGAAGACATGTACGATAAACATGATTGCTTGCAGCTCTGGAAGGGAACAGAGACGTTCCTTGACAGAACAAACATACCGAAACAAGAGCCTGGAACCCTTTGATGTTTACGACCTTGAAGTGCTTATGATCTGTGACCTCATGAACACTCTAATTCATATGTCAGGATATATATTCCTCTACGAGAAACAATGTAGGAGGGAAACAAGGAGATGCAGCCAATTTCAACCAAGGGCCAGTCATAACACTGATCAAACTAAATCTTTGTTACCCTAATCGAAAACAGAAGGGTCAGCAAACCTGAAAAGACCTCAGTGATACAGAACGCAAATCACGTCAAATTCAACACAATCACTCATGACCCAAGGCTGGGTATAATCCACGGCCTCAACGATTTACATAACACCCAAAACTGACGGATAGAATCGGATTTTTAAGAACAAGAAGACAACGATGTTTGATTTATTATTCATACAGGAGAGGCAGCTCCGTTAATCTGACAATAAAAAAGAATCACGTGGGAATCCAAAGCGCAGAAACGGAAATACCTCGCGATAAATCTTTTCACGAGGAATCAGTTGGATACCAGATGACAATCACATGGCAGCGATCAAAATCCGAATGACAAATTCACACGAGAACGATCGGAGGACAACGAGCGAACAACAACAACAAACCTTTCTAGAGAAGCAGAGAGAGAGAGAGAGAGAGGTATCCAGCAGAAACCCTAATTCAGAATGCAACCTTCGCAAGAGGAAAGATCGGATTTGTCTCTCTCTCTCTCTCTCTCTCTCTCCACCCGTTTTGGAGAAACTGGAATCTTTGAAATGGAAGCTTATGAACAGAGCCAACCTTCGACGTTGTGATCGCCTCAATTTTAAACTTTATTTCCTGTCCTGGTTTTGTATTAACCGGTAGCGCTGCAAGAATGTGAACCGGTTTTCACAAGCTAAACCGGAAACCGGTACGCGCAGCTTCCAGCAACTTTGACCAATGTACCCTCGCTGACACGAGAAGAATCTGACAGAAAAGTCTTTTGAGGGCATTTTCGTCTATTCGTCAGTTCCAACTTACAACGATTAACGAATCCGACACCAACTATACCAAGATTCTATCATACATACATACATACATACATACATACATACATACATACATACATACATATATGCGCATATATAGTCGTTTTTTTCTATGCGAAAAAGTGAGCTATTAACGTGCAAGGGGAAGGGGTTGCCCAAAAACCATCATATCCGAACATCAACAACGGTCCATTCGAACAAACGGTTAACGTATGTACCAAACGACCTTTGTATATGAACAAAAAGATGCATGCATGGACCGACCTGCTCTTCATCAAACATAAAACCTGTCCAAATCAGGGAAATTATTCAAAGTTGAAAGCAACGCAGCGCTTATCATACAACTGAAACTTAGGAACCCTAAAGGACCAAAGAAAAAGTCTGTCAGAAGCCGGGAGGAACTAAAACTACAGAATCCAAGGGAGATGATGACAAAGTTCAAAGTCATATCAACATCTCAAACACATAAACCTCCTCTTATTCTTCCCCTCCTATTGTTTTTGGAACTACCAAAGCGTTTCCGCTAATGGAACAAATGGGAATAATCCCCCAATCCGCCCACGAAAAAGGTTACAGTCTGATGTATGAACCCGAAAAGAATCCGCTTAAATTGGGCATGCGGTAAAAGAACCAAGGTTTTCAGGCAAATTCGCCAGTAATTAATGAGATTCAGACAAGAAAGGAGGACATGTCTGTGCAGTAGTACCTCAGCTGAATCGAGAGCATTAGATTCCCGAGTCTTTGGCCCCGAGATCAGATGACGGGCCACTCTCTTTCCGGGTTAGGGAAGGCATGGACGTTCTAAAATCTGTTATCAGGCTATGCTGTTCCTGCCGCTGAAGCTGATGCAGTTGCTGCTGTTGCTGCTGAAACTGTAACTGCTGTTGCTGCCGGCGCTGCCG